TCTAGCTTCATAACTCGTTCATCACTTTCATTCTGAACGTTGTGAGCTCAGTGCGTATTCAATATAGACTTGGGTTTGATGCCCTCGAGTCTAAGTATAGATTACTCAGTATGCCACAAACAGTTGAAGTTTCAGTGTTCATAATCAGTTCAAGAATACATGTCTCAGTCTAGTCCTATTCAGTATTCTAGTATTATGTAACTCTGTGTGATCCAGTATTCCGGTATCATGTAACTCAATATGATTCAGTATTTCACTATCATGTATTGCAGTTTGATTCTCAGTTCCTGAATGTTGAACACCTGTATTTGGGCCTGAGGCCGTAGTTTATATGTTTTTTGCATACTTGGGCCTGAGGCCGTAGTTTATGCTTTATGCAGGTCTGGGCCTGAGGCCGTAGTTTATGCTTTATGCATGTTTGGGCCTGAGGCCGTAGTTTATGCTTTAGGGCCTGAGGCCGTAGTTATGTATACGTATACTTGGGCCTGAGGCCGTAGCTTGTGCACATATATATTGGGCCCGAGGCCATAGCTTATTCAGATAAACAGGTTGTTCATCATTCAGAAGAGGGAGTATTCATATCCTTACTTCCTTTGTTCAGTTCAGCTATCAGTTATCATTTCAGTTATCAGTTATCAGTTATCAGTTATCATTTTAGTTATCAGTTATCAGCTATCAGTTACCGTTTCAGTTTCTGTTTCAATAGTTATCATTTCAGTATCAATTATCGATTCTCAGTTATCAGCTCAGTTTCAGTTTCAGCATTTATAATTCTTTCTTTCAGTTGCTTTACATACCAGTGCAATTCAAATGTACTGACGTCCCTTTTGCCCGGGCCTGCATCTCACGATGCAGCTAATAATTTACAGGTTGATGATTCAGAGCGCTAGGATTCTCGTACCAGCTATTTAGTGATCCCCAGTTCTTTCGGGGCATTATCATTACCTTACAGTCTTCAGTATTTTCAGGCAGTCAGTGTTTTCAGTATTTCATTAAAGGCTTCATAGACTAGAGTAACAGTTAGACAGAGTCTCGGGCTTTTCATGTTAAGCTATGTTGGCTGCAAATATGTTTCAGAATTGTATTAGTATTTCCGCACTTTGATTTATATCATCCAGACTTTTAGTATATTAACATGTGTTAGTTTATCTTCCGCATTCAGTATGTCATGATATCACATGTTGATTCAGCTAGCCAGTTGGTTCGCTCGGTCACATGTAGTCAGGCACTGAGTGTCGTGTTACGTCCAAGCCCAGGTTCGGGGTGTGACATTCTTGGTGAAATCAAGGCTGGGCTTTACATTTTGCATTCTATCCATCTTCCTACTAATCCATGGACCACTTATCATAGAATAATCTTTCTTACATTGATTACTAAATATACGGATAAGGCAAGTCAAAGCAAAGCCGGTGCACCTTATACGACTAAAAAAGAGAGCAACGGTCCCAAACCCCAAGCAATTGACCAGTAGAGAATCATCAGGAATGGCCTAAGGGCCTACCAACCCTTTCTTAATCTAAGGCATCTACCCCTGGCAGAAAAGAAGACGGAAAGAAAGTCGATTGATAACTTAGCTTTGAACCACCCTGCACATAGACAATAAAACTTCAACTATTAAGCATAGTTCTAAAACCCTGTCCAATGCTTTCAATGTTTTATATTCTTCTATGTCTAGCTAGTTCTACTGTTTCATGTGATAATCTTTGGCATGTAAGGTTAGGTCATTTACCTATATCTACCATGAGATATATTCCCATCTGTAAACAACATTGTTCTAGTGATAATGTTTTTCCTTGTTCTATTTGTCCTATGGCCAGGCAACACAAGTTACCTTTTCCCACTAGCACCAGTTGCACCTCTCATGCGTTTAAGCTAATTCACATAGATACTTGGGGACTGTATAAAGTTCCTACTTATGATGGTTTTAGATTTTTTCTTACTATAGTGGATGACTATAGTAGGGGCACATGGAATTTTCTCCTAGGCACTAAAATCAATGCCTTTACTGTGTTACAATCCTTTATTTCTATGGTAGAGAGATAATTTGACACCAAACTCAAAAAATTAGATCTAATGCCCTTGAACTAGGAAGCAACACTGCTACCACAACTTACTTGCTTTCTAAAGGAATCATACACCAAACCTCTTGTGTAGGAACCCCTCAAATGGTATTTATGAGAGAAAACACAAACATTTGCTAGAAACATATAGAGCTCTCTTGTTTCATTCTAAAGTGCCAATTTATTACTGGGGAGAATATCTACTTACTGCTACTTTTCTCATCAACAGATTTCCTACCAAGCTTCTTCACTATAAAACACCCTATGAGATTTTGTTTCACAAGCCTCCTGATTACATTATCCTAAAATATTTTGGTTGCCTATGCTTTGCTTCTACTTTGTCTCAACATAGAGGGAAACTTGATCCTAGGGCTCATGCTTGTATTTTTCTTGGCTATCCTTTTGGTAAAAAGGGCTACAAACTCTTAAACATACAAACTAAATACAACTTTGTCTCCAGAAATGTTGTTTTTCATGAGACAATCTTTCCATTCTCCATCTTAAACACTAAGTCTTCTCCTCTTTTTTCTGGCACCACACCTCAGATCGCAGTCTCCTCTCCTAGATATCATTATTCCCCTATGCCTATTCCCTCTAATTCTGTTCATTCTACTCCCCAGTCTCCTATCACTACTCCTAGTTCCTCCTCAGTCCTCTTCCATTTCTTTTCCTTCTACTTCACCTCATTCCACTCCTCTCTTTTCTTCCTCTAGTTCATCTTCCTCTAATGTACCCGATCCCTTTCTTTTCTCTGATGCTTCTTCCTCTTCTCCTGACCCTCTACACACTGCTCTGCGGTGATCTTTCACGGATCGCAAAACTGCCTCCTACTTAGCTGATTATGTGTGTAATATTGTGCATTTAACTGATGTTTCTACCTTTTGTTTTCTTTTCCCTATTTCCCCTTTGCAATTTTCTTTCAATGCTTTATCTTCCTCTAATCAGAAGTTGCTTAATTCTCTACCACATATCCAAGAACCTTCTAGTTATTCCCAGGCAGCTATGCACCCTGGTTGTCAAGAAGCTATGGCCAAAGAACTTGATGTTTTGTTGCTCAATGAGACTTGGGAGGTGGTCCCTTTGCCCCTGGAAGAAAGAGTTTACCATCTAAGTAGGTCTATAAGGTTAAATTAAACTCTAATGGGAGTGTGGAGAGATTGAAGGCTTGTTTAGTGATTCGTGGTGATATACATAGGGAAGGGGTTGATTTTACAGAAACCTTTTCTCCGGTCGTCAAAATAACCACCATATGTTGCATCCTAGCTTTGGCAGTCAAAAAGAATTGGAGACCCTTTCAGTTAGATGTCAACAACGCGTTTCTTCATGGTGACCTCCATGAGGAGGTCTATATGAAATTTTCAGACGGACGTACACTTGCTACTCCTAACCTTGTTTGCTGACTTAAGAAGTCTCTATATGGTCTACGTCAGGCTTCTCGCCAGTGCTATGCTCGTTGAACTGCATCTCTGAATTTTAAAGGGTTCACTCATTCTATGAACAACTACTCTCTATTCTACAAAAAATCTGGTACCTTGTTTCTTTGGTGGCTGTTTACATGGATGACATCCTACTTACGGGGAATAATGTTGAAGAATTACATAATTTAAAAGTCTTTTTACACAGTGAGTTCAAGATTAAGGACTTAGGGAACTTAGCTTATTTTTTGGGCATGGAAGTTCTTCGTATGGTTCTGGCATCATTCTCAGTCAACAGAAATTTACTCTTGAACTTTTAGAGGAGTTTGGCTATCTTGGTTTGTCTCCGGCCAGTTGCACGTTGGATCTTTCTATCAAATTGCATGTTGAACATGGGGTTCCGCTCTCTAATCCTACTTTATATCACCGTCTTCTAGGAAAACTCAATTTTTTACGCATACGCGTCGTGATGTTTCCTTTGTCGTTCAGCATTTAAGCCAATTTATGCAGGCTCCTCGTGATCTTCATCTGCAGGTTGCTCATCACTGTTTACAATATTTGCTTTTGGACCCTGGTCTTGGGTTGTACATAACTGCTTCTCTTTCTTTGGACCTGCTCGCTTTTTGTGACTCCGATTGGGGCTCTTGTCCTGATTCCCGATGCTCTATTAGTGGTTTCTTTGTTAGCCTTGGTGGTTGTCCCATTTCTTGGAAATCCAATAATCAGTCCTCCGTCTTGCTATCTTCCGCTGAAGCTGAGTACCGCTCTATGCGTCGTGTCGTGGCTGAGCTCACCTGGTTGGTCCGTCTCCTCGATGACCTTTCGATTCTGCCGATTTTGCCAATTCTTCTTCGTTCTGATAGCCAGGCGGCGATCCATATTGCAAAAAACCCGATTTTTCACGAGCGTACTAAGCACGTTGAACTCGACTGCCATTTTGTCCGCCAACAGTACCAAGCTAGTATAATTTCTTTGTCTTTCGTCCCTTCGCCTTTGCAGCTCACCGATATTTTTACTAAACCCCTCTCTGGGCTATCTCATCGGGACTGTTTAAGCAAGTTGGGGGTTCTTTAGGCACCCTCCAACTTTGGGGGGGGGGGGGTGTCGCCGGAAAAGCCTTAATGGCCAATGAGGATCATGGGTGATGGCTAGGGTTCTCTATTTCTTGAATGTATCGACTGAAATGAGTAAAGAGAAAGGAGATTCGTATACAAGTTAATGTTCCGGGACGGTTCGCATCCACACTCATTTGGGCTGCCACGTGTCGCTTATCTGAGTTTGTCTAGTTAATCTCAACCATCCATGACAGCTGTACTCCACTATTGTTATTAGTTAATTATACAACTGTTAGTTAGGTTAGTCGGTTAAAGAAATAGGGAGTATTTTAGCTGTGTATATATATTACACACTGTACATTACACAAGGCAGTTGAGAAATTTCAACAAGTTTTATTCTAGAATCTTCAATGAAATTCAACATAAAATAGTGAAACAAAATTAAGATGCAATAAAATGCCAAATACATATAGCCAAGGATGCAAATTAAATTGTATCAAAATGTATTGTGCAAACCAATGCACATCAATTGTTTTCACTTTTAACAAAACAAGATGACTAACTCACAAAAAGAAATCCTGACACAAAATTGCGATCGCCTACTTCGTGATAGAAGAACATTATTATTCCACCAAAGAGACCAATCTTAAGTACCTAAAGCATCTTTCTGATCAAGTTCAAATTGGTCAATGATTGTGTATTGTGTCTATAATTTAGTAATTATACATAAACAAATGAAATTGATAATTACATGGAAAGTTGAAGTAACCCCCCATTTTTTTCAAGAGCAATATTGATTCTGATTAAGGGCAACATGTTCACTTCTTGCTTTGGCGAAATTCACGAGATTCACCATTTTCACTGCTTGAGTATTCTTGACTTGACATGCTGGATTTTCTGAATTTTCTTATGTCATATGAACCTCCATCATGTTCAGAACTTCCACCAGAACTAAGAGTTGCACTATGGCCAAGTTTTCCTCCCTCATTTAAATCGTCCAAAGTAACATCATCTTCTAAAGCACGTACAATCTGTATATATGTAACGCAATTCATTAATCAATATTTTTTAAAACATATCATAAGACCACCCCTTTTTAAATTAAAAATATATATTTTTTAAACTTTTTGTTTCAAAGGAAATATAATCCTAATTTAATAACTAAGAAAAATTATAACATGCTTTTGAATTATACACCTCAATGTATATAAGAAATCTTGTGTACAACATTGCGCCATTGAAAAGGGCAATCTAATGCACAAAATATCCTACGCTCACGCAGAGTTCAAGGAAGGACCGCAGGGCAAGGACGGATTTATTGGCTAATACATTGGGCACGTGAACTCATGGTCTCTCTATCAAAGTAGGTATTTTATGTATATATTTTCTAGAATTAATATTATCCGCTAACACCCATGCTCCAAAGAGGCTAAATGGTGCATTTTGTTGAATGCTAAGTTGTTTAGCTAGAGGAGCAAGGACCAATTCCCACTTAATACGTTCTTTTTTCTCCTTTCTTCAGTGGTGCACACATGTTATAAAAATTTTAGATCCGCCTCTGCCCAAGGGACCTAATGTAAACAGCCTACTCTACGACTCGAACTCGTGACATATAGGTAACATAGAGATAACTTTATCGTGTCTCTGAGGCTCTCCTCACAAAATTGAAACAAGAAAAAAACAAGAGAAAACTAACCTGACTCATTTTCGGACGTCTTTTAGCAGAATGCCTGATTGATGCAGCAGCACATGCCACCATACATAACATCTGTTGTGCATCAAATTTCCCCTCCAAACGTGGATCTATTAGTTCATCATAATCTCCACCCTCTGTTGCACGAATGAGAATAGGTCTTGCCTGCATATAAATTGTCGAAAAAGGAATGACAAATTATTTACCACAAATTAGAATATTGATGTACTGTTGTCTACTTATATATAGATTATATCATAAATTATGTAGTCGAAATAACTTGTAGTTGTATCAAACAATATTGAAAATTACCCATTCAACTAAGGTATCATCGTCACCATCCATATCTATTGGACGACGTCCAGTTATAAGTTCCAAAAGCATAACTCCATACGAATAAACATCAGATTTCTCAGTTAGTTTGCCACTTGAAGCATACTCTGGTGCTAAGTACCTGTTAATTATCCATACAAACAATTTCACGTCATTTATTTCATTTTAATTAAACCCACTAAGACATGATGCAAATTAAAGTAACTAATTTCACCTTTTTAGGTGAAATAAGACATTATAGTAATTGAAGAGCAATTACCGAAACAACAAATGATAGCAAAAAATTAAAAATTAAAAATTAAAAAGAAATAATAGACGTCATTTTAATAAATATTTTAGGATACTCACCCAAAAGTTCCCATTATACGGGTGGATACATGAGTATTGGTGTCAGATGAAAGCTTAGCTAATCCAAAATCAGCCACCTAATGAAAACAATTGTCAGATTCGTGATAATGATATTATTTGTGTATCTAAGTGAAAGAAAATTCCCCATAATTGATAGATAGTCCAATATATACCTTGGCTTCAAAATTTTCGTCCAATAGGATATTTGCAGCTTTAATGTCTCTATGAATAATTTTAGGGTGGCCTGTGAACAAAATAGTACTTAGATATGAAAATACAAAAATAATTCAAATTGTAAAGGTGAAAATTATGCAAAAAGTTGAAGTTAATTACAATCCTCATGAAGATAAGCAAAGCCTTTCGCAGATCCTAATGCAATTCTGTGCCTTGTATTGAAGTCCATAGGTGGACGACCAGCTCCTAAAAGAATGAAATAAAGGAAATATGAGATATTTCCAAACAAGAAATACTAACAATTAAGAAAGGTTCTGTATTTAAACTTAATAAGTGTGCATGTTTTATATTGACGAAAGCTATTTTTCAGTATATATTTTCCAGGAAGTAAGTCATTTTTTGATATTTTGTGCCTGAAAATACTTATACATTATCATCAATCCTATTTTTTTTTAGGTTGAATTTTTCACAAGTTATTCACAATCATAATAATAGTTTTGACAATACATCACTCATTATCATCCATCAATACTCAAAAATTTTATCAAACACTATCCGATTTGTTAAATATTATTTTTTTTTTAACAATTAAAGTTTTTTTTTCAAAAATATTCTTTTCAAACTCTCACCAAATATCGAAAAAAAATTCTAAAAAATATATATTTTTTTTTTATAAAATGACTTCTATCCGGAAACTTCTAGTCTAGTGTTTTGCAAATAAAGCATACGTACCATGGAGGTGATATTCAAGAGTATTATTGGCAACAAATTCATAAACAAGCATCCTTTGAGAGCCAGCACTACAATACCCAACCAAAGACACGAGATGACGATGATGTACACGGCTTATAATTTCAACCTCAGCTTGAAACTCTCTTTCACCTTGTCCACTATTAGATTTTAAACTTTTAACAGCAATCTCTTTACCATTAGGTAAAACTCCTTTATGTACATAACCAAAACCACCTTGTCCTAAAAGATTAGCCTTAGCAAATCCTCCAGTTGCAGCTGCTAAATCATCATAAGTAAAACTACTTTGGTTAAAACCAAGAGCCATTGCTGGATGTGGTGGTGGTAAAGGAGGTTGATGTGGACCAGAGAAAGCTGCAGAACTCATTTCACTACTACTCATCATTGGTGGCGGCGGCGGTGGCGCAATTGGCCAACTGTGTTCTGAACTTACTTGTGCACTAGGTGGCATTTTGCCAAACTGATCTGTTGATTGGAGTTTGTTGTTATTCTGCCAATTGTTCCCATGTTGTCCACTGGTATTATAGTAGTGACGACTGTCTGTAAAATACATAATTAACGTTAGAAATTGATAAAGAAAGAAATATGAATATAGACGAACAGAAACAAGAAGAAGACTTGAGTCGTGATATCATAATTTTCTATCCAAAAAAAATGGATTGCCTGAATTTTGGAGGTAGAATTGTGGACAAGCACTATTATCAATTGTATTGAAATTGTTTAGTTTCAATTAAAATTGTAATTTTTCATAATAGGCAGAACCAACCTTAAGAACATATGTTCCTTTGACCGTTGAAACATATACATAATACACAAGTACTTTCTAAGAAAAAGTTGGATATGTAGAAGTTATTTTTTTGAATTCTATTTTCAACACGGGACTCTAAAAAGGATGTTGTTTTAAGTAAGGTAACAATAATATGTTTTTTTTCCCATCCGGTGTCCGATATTTATATTGGGGACCGACTAAATCCGGATTCGCGCTGGAAAGTCTCACGTTAAGGGGTAAAGCGCTCCCTAACAAAGACGACTCCATACCAGGGACTCGAATTCGAAACCTTTGATTAATGATGAAGGAGTACTTACCAATCCACCGCAACCCTTGTTGGCAAAGTAACAAGAATATCAAAATGATTTACAGTAATAATTTAGATATATAAAATTTACACGAAAAGTAAGGCAATATAAACATTTTAAAAATGCCACAGATGTACACAAACATTATTGGTCAAGGATAAATGGGTTGACATTCAAAAGTGAACAAGATATTGAATTTTGGGATGGAAGAATTCATCTAATATGATACAACCAAATAAAAAGTAGGGCAAAGCAGAGAACGGAAAAAATGAAAGAAAAAGAGCCAATTTTTCATCTTACATGTAGTGCTTGTGTACTTATAAACCAAATTGGTATTCGGTAATTACACTTTTATTGATCTTTCTACCAATGTATGAAATGTTCTTTTCCTTAATGCAATATGTTATGTCGAAAGCACACAATTAAATTAAGATAACAAAAAAAGATAAAGTAAGATCTATACTCATGACTCCTCCGTGAGAATTGTCTCTATAGTAGCCAATTTGAGCATGCTTCCTTTTCTTCTTTCGTTTACAACAAGATATGAGGAATACTATCATAACAAGAAACAATAATCCTGCTCCAGCAGCAACTCCAACCCTGAGTGCTGTTTTGTTATCTTTAGCATCTGACTTTGATGAGGGATTCTTTGGAGGGGCAAGAGATCTTGAGTTAGGAGAATTATGTGATGGTGGAGAGGGTGGCGGCGGCGGATGAGCCGATGAACCTCCTTTTGATGAATCCGATGATTTCGGTGGAGGCGGTGATGACTTGTTATCAGAATTGTTATTATGATTATTATTGTTGTTATTACTGTTATTATTGTTGTTATTACTGTTGTTGTTATCATTTGAAGAGGAATTATTATCGTTTCCAGATGAGGAGTCATTGTTAGAAGGAGGAGATTGAGAGTTTGAATTACTATTATTATTATTAGGAGGAGATTGAGAGTTTGAATTATTATTATTATTATTATTGTTGTTGTTGTTACTGTTAGAAGGAGGAGATTGAGAGTTTGAATTATTATTATTATTGTTATTGTTGTTGTTACTGTTAGAAGGAGCAGATTGAGAGTTTGAGTTATTATTGTTATTGTTATTGTTATTGTCACCGGAAGAAGAGGAGCTATTATCGTTTCCAGATGATGAATTATTGTCAGAAGGAGGAGATTGAGAATTTGAATTATTTGGTGGAGATGATGAGGAAGATGGTGGTGAATTTGAAGATGATGAATCTGATGGTGGTGAATTTGAAGATGATGAATCTGACGGTGGAGATTCCTCAGATGATGACGAAGACATTTTAATAAAAGTCTTTGTCACAATCTGCGTTAGAACAAGTTACGCAAATTCTGCCGATCTCCCAAGTATTGATCCCTGTTCATTCCAAAATAAATTTTGTTTAGTAAACAATTATCAATCATCATTCAAGAAATCATAAGAGTACTTAACCCCAAAAAAACATAAAACTAACCATACTGTACGATCCCAATAACAATAAAACTTGAAACTAACAATACTCAATGAGATCCATTATAGATTTTCACAATACAGAATCGATATTTAATGTCATTGTATAACAAAAATGATATAAAGGTGATATTGTATTTAAAAAAACAAAGATTAAAGAGATGAAATGTTAAAGAAGAAGAAGAAAGAGAGAGGAGATGAGGAGAAAATGTGATACCTTTAGGAGAAGGGCAGTGAGGATTCTCAAAGGAAGAAGAGTAAAAACATGTTGCATTGAGTATAATTTTTACGGAGAAACTAAGAGCTGCTTTTCCATCCTCATACTCCTCCTAAAATTAGGGAACTAATCACTACATTTAAAACACAAATTTTTTTATATATTTCATTAATCATAGGGCTAATCTTTATGAAAAAACCTTGAATATGATTTAAATAACATTGACTAGATATTCTTTATTTGTCAAATTAAATGAACAACCATATTTTCAAATTTCACTCATTTAATTATACAGTTTTGTCAATTTGGTTTGATCTAAGTAATTTCAGCACACGTGTGACTTTGATCTTTCCACTTCTTGCGCTCAACTGTTCCATGCAAATTGTCAACCACATACATAGTTGAACTAAAACCAGTTTCAAAGTCAGCTGTTTGGACGGTAGTTATGTATCGTTTCATAATGTACGTGTTATATTGTATATTATATTGTATTATTTCGATGACTGCAACTTGAGTAGTTTCACGATCCAAACCGAAGGGCCACGACAAGCATCCAGTGCCTTACTCAACCGAGTACCAATGTAATATATCTTTCTTATCGTACTATCATTGGTAAATGGGCCGAAAAGGGCTGTTATGGGCTAACCGGAATAAACATAAGGGAATACTCAATATAGGACGGCTCAATCCTGATATAAAAACTTATACATGTCACATACGGGTCTATAAGGCCGACATGATCATTTGTAATCTCAAAACATAGGCCGATAAGGCCATACAAGTATCCACATTCATGACATATGTCTACAAGCCTCTAAGAGTACATAAATGTCAGAAAGGTCGGGACAGGGCCCCGCCTTACCAATCAACACATGACCAAATCATACTGACCAAATAGGCAACTCCTGAGCAAATGGAGCGCACCAACACCTTCTGCTAAGCTGATAGCTTACTTGGAGGACTCTCAACCTGTCTATCGAGACCTGAGTCGATTCTCTTGACAATCCCTCTAATACACGTCTTTTGTGATAAAACACGTGACGGCAGATATGATATTTTTGAGAAAGATTGTACTGTGTTCTCTTAGAACTGCACCTCACGGTGCTATTACATAATAATCTCGTATGAACTTTTTTTGGCTGAAGCTTCACCCATTACTTAGATGTAAACATTTTCATTTGTGACTTAGAGAAGTTTTTAAGTCTTGGTGGTGTGGGACCCACTTTGATAAGATGACTAAGGACTTAGGAGTCACAATTTGGCTGCCACGTTAAGGCTTATCCAAAAGCCTTAATTAATTAGTTAATCTTCCCCTAAAATCAATATTTACCCAATTATCCACATAATTAAGAATTATCTTAAATTACTTAAAATACTATTCACTTTTAACATACTTTATGCATATTACTATCATGGTCATGTGGTACCTTGTATGACACTAGTCCATAAATACGGGGTATTATAGCTTGGACCGTATTTTATCCCCAAATTGTCAAACTTCGATGGAACTCATTTTCTTCGATTCGCTTACCCTCTCACTGACGAGTGTCTAGTGTATATAAAATTCTAACTCGTACTCTGTCAAATAATAGTATAGAAAGATGTCGAACCCACAGAGATTGGTTTATCTATTCTACAGACGTTTCTTGTTTTAATTACTATTTGAGAAAATCAGAAAGAGTTGAGTTATAAATTAACTAACTAAAAATTCATAAATAGAGCAATAGAAAATATTTTATTTTTCACGGATATAATAAAAAGGTGTTGGGATTTCGACTTCACTTAATATTTATGTTATATAGTAGAATTAGTATTCCTCAATTTCTATCTCTCATAAATGTATAAATGCCTCTCACGATTACAAATATATATTATTACTCAAGTTGAATAATTAATTGCACTCCTCTCGGTTATACAAATTAATCTTCAAAATAGTAATACTCAAGAACCAGAAATATATGATTAAATTAAAACATGCTCTTGTTAGTAAGTCCATTTCGGTTACCCTACTTGTTATAACTGATTATTACATTATTCGCCTATCTCGATTACAAATAAGTGTACAATTAATTATAACATAAAAGAGATAGATATTATTGAATAAATATATACATCTATCAATAATACAATTAACTATATTATTTCTTCCGCCTCTCTCGTTTACAGAATTAATAAACAGTTAATATGTAGTACAAGATAGATAGATGTTAATAAATCAAATAACGTCTAACAGTAAAAGCTGATAAAAGTTAAATAAAAAGTTTTAGCTCAAGCATGTGAATTTGAGGAATAATATCTACTATTATATAGAAATATTAAGATCCGTTTTCTTCCAACACAAGAAAAGTTACTCCATAATGGAATTAGTACTAACAATGAAAATATTCTTGTCCATTAAATAAGAAAATAGAAAGAAATATTCAAGAAGAATAATTCCCCCTATTTAATTAAAAGCAGGAACTAGAGTAATTTCCTACACTGTTAGACACAACAACTAAACCACTATTGTGATTTAAAATAAAAGATAACTCGATACTAGTAAAAGAAATAAAACAGAGAAGCTTATTAAGAATTTGAATTCAAACTTCTAGCTCTAAGCTTTCTCTCTACTGCGATGCCCTTTCTGATCGGTAAATCCCTTCTTATATAAGAGAGAAAGTTATGATGATCTTCTCGATTTGGTACTGGTAAGTTGGATTTGTCATGGCAAATCTGATTACTCATTTGCAAGTTGAGATTTTGTCCTGTAAATCTAAATTTGTCCCGGCAAGTTGAGATGTCTTCATGGTAAGTGTTGGTTTGGTGCATCATCAAAGTCCAACGTCATTTATGTGTTCATTTTCCTTTGCCAAATTATTTTTTCCATCATAACTTGATCTTTTACTTCTTTGTAGTATTTTTCTTGAAGTTTTTCTTGCTTTGTACGACAATTCTTCTAAAATTATTCCTGCAAAATTTAGTTAAAAATATGGAAGAAACATGATAACATTTATGCTTTTTGCTGAGAAAAATTATATGGTTAAGATCAGGTAAAATACACTTATCACTCACCTTCACGAATTTACTTATCACTTGTTTGAAATATCGTAATACTTATCACCTCAAAATAATCTTGTCCTTGAACTGATGTCAATTATCTTACGACAAATTCAATGTACAATACTACGGGGTGTAACATCATTCCCCCCTTTGGAACATTTGTCCTCGAATGTTAGCTGATGCACTTATCGGTCTTATAACCGGATAACTCTTACGAATGGTTTAAATACTGTCCTTGCCATCTAGGCAACTGTTCTGTAAATAAATCCAAAGGCCAGCGCATTCCCCCCTTTAGGCCTCTTTCTCACACCATGACGTTTGGTCGGAATCCTTCCAATCTCGTAACCGTTTCTACCCTTTGTCATGTAGCATGTACGACTCTGACTTTGTAAGTGCACCTATGCAACTCTTCTCTCCTTTCTCCTCCAGCTTTTAGCCAATCTCTAGGCCTCACTTTGTAAACATATACATAGCTTGATAAGATGTCCCGCTGGGCATCTATGGGTATACTGAAGTTCTTCGCTCAGTACTTTGTTGAACTTACGAATATTACTATACCTTATTTCATAGATCCATTTATCCATCCGTATGACTTTACTGCATCTAGGTAGGTCATACTATACCATAACTCTTACTTCGATTTATCGTTACTGAGGTCTGCTACCAAACTCCAGGTTACTCTCGTTGCTTATCCTATATGTATAAATCTAAGTCCTTTAACGCTTCTTCATTACTGGTCATCTTAAGACTGATGGTCTAATGTCATATCATACTTTGTAACTTTTATCCATCCATTGTTGATTCACCTCAATGTTAATCTACAATTTGCCATTGATAACTTGAAACTTCTTATGTAACAATGCCTCTAAGGCTCGGGGAACATCTGAAATGATTAGAATGATCCACTTGGGGGCGATACCATACTTCCATAACCGTATTTCATAGCATCCCAATATGATTCACCTTACGTGGGTATTTTAATCATGTACAATTCATGAAATCCCCTTTTTTCTTCAAATCATTACTCAATCGAAGGTCCAACCATCATCCTTTATTTATTACAATTACACCCTTATTATACTACCAGGGCAGCATTCCCTCTCTCCTAAATGCTATTAGTCTTAGACTCTTTTGAGTTCGTTCAGGCTATGCTGACATTCTATAATTTAGAGAAACCATTAGCTCTTTTATTTTCATGGGCTTAATCCTGAGGACTTATCCATTTCTCGTCACCTTCTCACTCGTCCTTTCTTATCCTTACTCCTATCTTCCTAAAACCTTGTCGTTTTACCATACTTTAGCTTGCGGCCTATACATATCTATTTATACTACTCGCAACCTTCCTTCAACTTGCTTGCACCACAGATTTCCTTGTGTTATTTAGAACATCAAGAGAGACATCGCATCGTCTCTAACTCTTCTTTACTCTCTTAACTGGACCTCTCGATACCTAGAAATCATCGACTGGAAGATATGCCACTGACGACGCCGCTATCAATACTGAATCCTAGTGCTTCTAGCCTTCTATCTGAAGTATGGACTATTCACAACCTTCTGCACTTGAGTATCTCGTACGTTGTTCACCTTTACCTTACTTACCTTAAAATATCGCCTCACATTCTTCTATCTCTTGCATAACTTCCCTTCCATATAGGTTTAATTCATATCCACAACTTGAAGCTCTATTATAATACTTACGCCTCTGGTGCATACAAAATCCTGGTCGTTCTGCCACTTGTTGCATAAATACTTGGCTTATCTTAGTGCCCACACATATTGGAATTCCATAACACCCATATGATCTTGAATATCACCTTTTGAATTTTTTTTTCTCGTTCATT